GCATTGTCTGGGAAATTTCCTTTGAAGTGTGTAGTATCGATAATGATTGAATCTATAAGGCCAACATGGGCAAGCTTGAAGACAGCCCACTCATTGCCAGGAACCTGGGTTATGGTCATGAATTGTTTGTTGTATATTAATTGAATTTAATAATTCTGGATTGTATAACTTTTTTAATGATTTGGCTCGGTGGTTCTAGTTTCTTTTTTGTGTAGAATAAAGTCGATGTGTATAATTTCCTAAATCACATCGCGTTTTCAAAATCGAATATAGTTATTGAGTGAAATGTGTATATTTAGTAAAACTGTTTATTTGTGATAAATTATTCAGAATAAAATTGCCCGAGATAAATAGTCCATAGTTTCCACCATTTTGTCGAGTACTTTCATTCATAAAATAGGTTTTTCGACATTTTCACATGATTAACGAAGTAATGAAAGTATGAGAAACTCTAATCAAGGAACCGTGAAATTGCACCTGAAGAATTCCAGAATTATCGACCTCGATGATTGGAGGTCTGTCGAGTCTCCTTGCAGTTTCCCAGCCATCAGCCATGTTGACACCTTTTCCACATCTAATTATATTCTTAGGATGACCATAATGAGCGTTACTGTAGTCTATGCAGGTACCACCATTTTCTTGGGCAACAAGATCTGTTAGGGCATCTGGATTAAGCGGATTACAGCAAATAGTACCATAGACTCGCAATCTAGCTATTCCACCATCGGGGAAAAGATTCAGTCGCAAATGGGTCCAGGTTGAAGTTGAAGTCGATGTAATGTAATTGTGACGTGTTTCTGGGTACCCGGAACCTAGCTCCGTCATTGGAACGATTGTCTCCCAGTTCTGGGGGAATTTCGTTATTTTTTTCATAATTTGCACTACTAAATACTAAAAAATGTAATGGTCATGCAATGGAAATTTTTAACAATTCAAAATATTACGCAGATTACTAGAAATTTTGGTAACTGGGAAATAAAATAACAATTACCTCTGTCTTTAACCGTGAGACTTCTTTGAATTCTTGGGCTGTGGCAGCACTTCCAACTTTTCTGCATCGTTTTGGGAATAGTTTAATGTCTATATTAGCAACAGAAAAAGAGAGTTTTGATAACTTATAAACAATAAATATCAGAAACTTGCCATTTTCATTAAGTCGTGCAGCTTGAATAGAAATTCTCGGTGCATAATTTCCGGTGAAATACGCAGTGTCTGCGCAAAATCCGCGGATGATTGAAGGTTGATTCAGACCAATGATTGCCCAATCATGGCCTGCACATCGTTTTCTTCGTGTTTCCCATCCATCCATCCATTTCCCAAATTCCGTGAATACATCTTCTTTCCATTCCGGTTCCCCATCCTTGAAGAGAGCAAAATTCAGTACAATTATAAATCTCTTTAAGATATTTTCAACACACTGTGTGTAAAGTGATATTGTTCGCTTGTGTAAGCCCTTACTTCCCACGCATTGTGATAAAAAAATACAGTTCGATATTCGCGGGAAAGTGTTTTTGGGCTTGTGGAAGGTGTATAGCGCAAGCCAAAGGTCTGTGATATAATCCCGTGTATCGGAAAGTACTAAAATTGAATGCATAGTAGGATGCTTCGAACTTCTAGACGCGAAAAATAACTAAAATAATAATAATTCATAACTTCAAAAGTTCGGAATTAAGCACCCGGATTTGAACTCACGTGCTATATATCGTCAGAGTGTCGGAGTATCTTTCTGCAATTAATAATGTCACTTAATTCGAGTAAAAAGGTCGTATAAACATTTCCCAATGGGATACGATATCTATATTTCAGACGATTTTGAGTTATCTGAGACCAATTTTTGGAGACAATAGCACGCCGTTTTTTCAAAAACGCCATTTTTTAAAATAATTTTGAGTTTCTGCAATAAAGCCGTATCAACACTTTCCGCGGCAATCGACCATTTAAAATATTCACAATCCCGCCAGGAAGTACCAATACGATGTTATTGCCACATTTGTAAATAGTAATAGCCTTTGTTTCAATAAAATTGAGAAAAAGTTGCTGAAAGATGAGCTCAGACGTTTAAAAATCTTCTGAAACTTGAAGATTCATCATCCTCAACTGGGAAAGGGGTTATAGAACCTTTTTGCCGAAAAGTGAAATGAATCCGAAAAGGTACCTGAACGAATCTTTTGCTGAACTTAGGCGATGTAATAAATTGACAATGTGAAAAATTTTCCGGTTGGAGCACAAGTTCTTTCAATGGAAATAAAATTGATTAATAAAACCGTCTTCATAACGAAAACTCTTTTTATTTGTTGTCGTTTTCTTGCTACTTAATAAAATGCTTTTCCAATATCCATTAAATCGACTTTATATAGTAATAATATTATTGTTATTAAGTTTTATTTTATGCATTAGTTTTTTTTCTAATTTTTCATTTCTACCAATACAATTTGATGTAAGCTCCCGAATGGATCCATAGCCATTCCGACAACAATTTTTTCCAAAATAAAGAAAAATCGCAATATTTCCTGAACGAATCATTCGATCCAGCCCATTTTTCATAGAAAACATTGTGGCCATAAGAGGCAATTTTCTCCCGAATTTCAAGTTGATAGGTTAATTTTCAAAAAATCAGAGAGCCTATACAGAGAAACATAAAAATGAAAATATCTCGAAAACGTTGTAGGAGCACATACATCTATTCTGACTGATCTATATAGAGCACAATGAGGAGAGCATTTCAAAACAAAAAAAGGAGGGAATTGGTTGCATAATTTCCGAGATATTTTCAACAAACTTGTCAGAAATAATCACCAATGTTTCTTTAAAAAAACAAGTCCATATTAGGACCTATGCACTGACAAAATTTTAGATTATTCTAATCAATTTATCCTTTTATTATCCCCATTTTCTAAAAGTTGACCATCAATTAACCATGCGTATTTTTATGTTTCAAATCCTTCCACATCATTTCCAGGCAGAATTAAGGAATGGAGAAATCGAAAAATTCCAGTACTTCTATTCGGTAGCAGAAAGCCGAAAAATAGCAATATCTAGCGTTTTTTGTATTAACGAATGTACATATTTTGATTTCTCGATATGGTGTTAACTAGGGCGAGTATTTTGAAAGAACAAATTGCACTCCATTGAGTACTTTATCAGATATTCAAGAAAATACATTTACGCAAAAGGTGTAATATCTCTGGAACCGCTGGGCCGATTGCGTATCTCCAAAATACGAACTTTTTATGTTACGAGACAATGTGTCTCCTCTCAAAGATTATTAATCAGTAAGATTATAAAAAAATTATTAAAAAATTATTCTTAAAATTTCATAGAAACACCTTAGAATGTTTAAACCATAACAAATTCATAAGGAATTTCCTGGTTACTATTACTGATAAGTCAGTCAGACTCAGAACTTTTGAGGTATTACAGATTTTGAAAAATCTTAAAGTAAATTCAGATAGATGTCGCTATATATATACTCCCGGAGAAATGTTGTACACATGACAGTGCATGGACCTCAATGAAAAAAAACGTAATACAGTACATATGAGTGGAAATGAGTATAAGTCGTGACGGTCTTGACCAATGAATCAACAGGAAGGAATCAAGGAATGTAACAGTTTTTATCCTTCAACTCTCGAGAGTTTCGATTCGATTCGATATAATTCATCTCCCTTTTACATAGGATAAATGTTCATCTCCCTTTTACATAGGAACATAGAACATAGGATGAGAGCTACGAGTGTACAATATTTCAACTCGCAATTCCTATTTTTTGTTAATTTATCGTGTTCACAACGATTTTGATGATAAAACCTCAAAATGGCGATGTCACGAAAGTTTATCGGAACAAACGTAGAGATTTCGATTGATATAGATCGAATCCACTGAAACGAGTGCTTTGAAAGGAAATTGAAATCCTTGCAATAGTTTCTGAGATAATGAGAAAAGACGAAATTTACATAAGTTGCTATATTTCAGGAACTACTCGTCCGATCGAGCTGAAACGATGCATCAAAGTATAAAGGTTGATGATAGTTATTATAATTGGAGAATTTAGATTTTTAGCGACAAATTTTACCATATCTATGTAAAATTTTCTTAAAATTAATCTTCAAAATTTCGAATTTTTCAGAATATACACACAGACGTGATCTAAAGACATCGTTTGTTCGCGTTTCATAATATTATAGATAACTTGCAATTGAAATTAGAGAATCGAAAAATCAGTCAAATACAAGGCTTCCATTCGGAAGAAAAAGAATGAAAGCTGAAATTTTACCTTCAGAAGATTTTCAGCCGCCGCAAACCAATCATCGGTAGCGAAAAGGATTTTTCCCCCACTCTGAAAAAAAGATGATATTATTATTACGGAAATTCGTTTTTTTTACATAAAATATTTTAATTAATAAGAGATTATGATGAAACAAATAATCAAAGTCACAATTAGATAGATTTTAATAATAATTCTGTCAATTAGACATCCTTACTCTCCAATACTCTCATTCGAAAGAAAAAAAAAGAAAATAATGAACAAACAATCGATGAGTTATCTGTATTGTTCAATAAAATGCAAATCGATAAGACGAAGATTGGATTATTACGTTTGCAGTATTTCTTTGGTTTGTTACCACAGAGTGTGAACATAGCAATAATAAATAACAATCTCCAGAGACGCGAATCTCTCTCCCCTTTTCTCTTTCAGTGAAATCACGTAAACAGTCGTCTTTCTGTTCTTGGTAATGTGTAATCGTTAAGAGAATTAACAACGACAATAACCCAGAGCAAGGTCTTATGTCGAAATTTTATGTGTTTATCGTTAACGTTTATAGTAACGTATGTTAATTTGCGTTATTTAGTATTGAACAGGGCACAAAATTGATGTGATTATTTCAAGACAGTCATTTATATTCATAACATTTTGTCGTATTTTCCGTGTTGGTATTAATGCTCTATTATTTTTTCAGTAGCGTGAAGTTTACATTCAGACGGTGCAAGTGCTAATAAGATGGGAGGCTAATTTTTATCTGAACCGCAATAAATTTTGATTGTATCTGAAAATGTTGGATTGTTTGTTTTGATAAGAATTTAAATACCCTTTTGGCTGTTTGTTACTACACTCTGTCTGGATTTATTCAGTTCAGAGAATCATCCATCAGGAAATTTACTAGGAAAGAGCGATGATTTTGATCGGAACATTGTTACTCATTGAATTCTACTTTTTTATCGTATCCACTTATCCAGTTTATGAAATTATCCCACAATCTACTACACAATTGCCCAATATACCTACTTTGATGAAAAAAAATCACGACTCATGTGAAATTGTTTTCAATATATTGATAGTCCGTTCATTTATTATGTCGCTTAATCGACTAGTTATTGATCAATAACTTCTATATTACTACTAGAGATTTATGCATTTCAATTAATTCAAAAATTCCATTATCATTGAGTATTCTCCTTAAAGGAACAGATACGAATAATAATGTAAATATCCCAGAAATACCTATTTTATTGATACCTATTTTATTGATGTAAACGTACACATAATAAGTGGTGAAGACCATTATAAGGAACTGCGTATAGATGTTGTTGCTATGAAATTAGCAACAAGCGCCCGAATGGTTTTCTAAAAATAGGAAAATAATAAGGGTAGTTTCATCATCTTTTAACTTGAACAAAAAATTGAACATTCATTGGTCATTTCATTGATATTGCTCAAAATATTTTACGTTGATTTCCAAGAAGATGAAGAAAAAAATCTCATGTACAATGTGCTATAACTTAACAACAAATGGTGCGATTCTCTCCACATTCTCGTCCGATCAAGAGTATTAATATCAATCTTTTGAGCGAATATTCATGCCTCTCTGATAATAATTACTTCAGTTATCTTTGAAAATCAATTTTCGTAAAAATGTTAATATTTCCGAATCTTTCTGCCGATTTCAATTCCAAGTGGTCTTAATGGATGGAGCACATGGAAGTCTAGGCCCACAGACAAATTCATGAGATCCTATTGATTCCTCGTGAAGAAATTTAAACAAAAACGAAAAAAACATTCAGTGAACAATAACAAATTCTTCTCAATTGTCATGGAAATTTCAAAACTAATCAGTGTTAATAAATAGAGCGTTGAAAAGTTTATATTCATTCTGGAAAATCATGGTATTCCATCAATCCCTGATGAAGAAAAGGAGAGAGAGAAAAAAAACCAAAAAAACACACACGCATGCATACATACAAACATACATACCATCTACAAACCGCAAATTCGGACTTTTTAGGTGGCATTTAATTACCCTAACACAAAAAAAAAAAAGAAACTGAAAAAGGCCCAAGAAAAAACCTCCCGTCCGAAACAAAAAAGGGATCACATTGTATATTTTATACTCAGATTTATAATTTATAAAAACAGAGAATTCAGTAAAAGTTTTGAAAAAATATAAAATGATGATATTCCAGGATTTCTCACAAGCAGATGCATTAATTTTCCCTTTTTCGATTAAAAAAATTACACAATTTTGTTGAAAATTAAGCCTTGGAAGTTAAGCCTTGCTAATTCGACGTGGAAAACCTCAAATATTTCCTTACGCTAAGCCAGGAAGGTGAAGATTCTGGTGCTTTGAGAAATTGGGAATCTGCGATTATCTCGGAAAGTAAATTTGACGAAGTGCCCTTTTCATGCGGACTTTCACTTATAAACTATCAAAAAAATAGACCTTTTCAGAAGCAACCTCGTCGAGCTCCAAGAAGTCCAACTCGGTGATATTCATGGTAGCCACGAGCCTCGATAACTGACAAACTTAACACGATGATACCAGCCCCACGAACAGACTCCGGTTTTACCTCGTTATCGTCCGAACAGAGTACAAATTCTGGAAAAAAACCTACACCAATTGTGGCCACTAATCAGTCTCTTCCGATAATCGTTCCTCGGCACGCGTTCTTCAGTATTTATTATTATTCATTGTCCCCCACTACTTGGAGAGCCTCAGACTTGACACAATGTTATCGCTCCAAAAATTCTTTATCTTCTTCTAGTTAACGTAAGCTGTAATGATTTTCCATGGATTATCAACCGTTTGTGAAAAAATAGCATTCAAATTGCGCGTGCCATGTTATGTCTTATCTCAATTCCGGAATATTTATGTACAATCGTCTGTTTACTATCATTAAAAACAAACTATCTTTGTGTTCCATTTTTTTAATTTCATTTTTTTTTCGAGGACGTATAGCTTTTCGCATACTGAAAAGATATTAACTTGAACTTTAACATGAGTTATTTGGTATGATGCCAGAATTATTCGTCAGGCCCCATTTTTTTTTAAACATCTCAGTAAACAACTGGTTCAAATAAATTAAGCAAGGTAAATTCGTTGCATCGAATTGTATTCCCAAAATAGTAGCTGTGACGTTGTTAATTAATATATTTCATTGAAAATATATTTGTTATATTAGTTGTAGCTTTATTGATCAAGATATGACAATCTCATCAACATATCATTACTATATCAAACCTTTTCCTTCGAGCACTGACCGCTTACCCAAATCAATTTAAAAAATATTGAATAAAAAAGTAACTTGAATCGAGTATATTATAATTTATACATGATTTCAGTATACGGATATGGATTATAAACAATACTAGATTCAATAATTTTTTCTAGGAGCACATGTTTTGCTTTTTTTAATTTTACAATTTTTTAATAATATTTTTTTGTTTCTGAATTCATAATATAGTCAATCTTGATTGACAATACGATTAGCATGTTTTACGGTTTTATACGATCGGCATGGTTTAAGATAGTGATAATTCCTTTTGATAATGCAACAAAATCTAGTATTTCATATTAAATAATCATTTAAATAATCTATTTGAAGCCATTTTAGATTGTAAGATTTATTCTGATAATTATTCAATTCAAATCTTTTTGAATTTTCCATGAGTCGACTAAAAATTTTCACAATGCTTTATAATTTTTATTGTCGAACAGATTGGAAAACTATTCCTGCATTGAATATCTCAGTTTTACTTTTGCGTTATCTAAATGTACATAAATAAAAAGGGAGAAACGTTCGTGAGGGTAAAGAAATAATTCAACACCAGGCATTCTAGAAGTTCCGATAGTCTGATAACTGCTAAGTTGTTGATATATCTAGTGAAATAGATAAATTGGGTAGTACGAGCTTAGTCGGTCTTTTACCAACCCGTTCCAGGTTGTACGTGGTACTCCAGCCTAATCACCTGCATAAGTTTCCTTCTAGTTAACTTATAACTAAGTCCACAGTCCATCAGTTCGTTTTCCGACGATGAAAAATTTTCTCATAGTCGAGGCTCAAACCCGCGCTAGAGCAGAACGCGTTGGTCCCAAAGACGTCCTCATAACAAAATGCCCAAATCTTATACACGTGTGCTCACTGCACATTCTTTCTATTGAGTAAAAATAAAAAAAAATACCCTGAGTCTAGTTTTATTTGTAAACCACTGGATAAATAAAAATCCGTTAATTAGGCAATCTGATAAATGATCTTTCCTCGTGGATCGCACAAAACCTTCACACAAACCATTTTGAACTAGATTTTTATTCTATTAAAACAATTCATCTCATCAAATTAACTCTCTTCTTCTTAATCGTGGAGTTAGCACACGCTTAATCCATTAAAGTTATGGTTGACCCAATACCCAAAAAAATAAACAGATGAAATGAAATCTTTCCATATGATCACATTTATGAAATAGTTTTACCTTCTTGCCCTATAATGTGATGAATTATTGGCAATCCTTCAGTACTTTATAGATAATCATATATTTTCAATAAAATTTCCATTCGTCGTCTAGCTACTGCATGGTCAAGTCATTATCAATGACCCCCTTTCCTCTTAAGAAAAGTACTTCAGGAGGACTTTAACCTTTGGATTGATTCCCCCCAAAAGTTTCCGTTTTCCTTCAATTTATAATATAAGTACGGAAGTTAGAGGCGGGGAATCTTCGAGTTTCCACTTATTGCCCTGATATGGCTTGTAAAACGTTAAACGAACGTATTCTATTCAATATATTCCTGTATAAAAGAGATTTATACCAAGTGCTTTGAAGGAAATTAATCCCAGGATGCAATTTGCCTTAGTTAATTAATTTAATCATTTTTAACCACTTCACTTCAAAATAATTTTTATTTTTCTTGAATGTAGATTGGAGTTGGCATTTATTTGAGTCTTAAGTACCTATTAGGTGCTTAATTCATTTTTTAATTTCCCCACAACAAATTTTCATTACTCCTTCGATCTAAATAATTGAGTGACTTTTATCATTTATTTGGTCCCTTAACTGATGATTTGGTTAATAAAAATTTTTGGATAGAAAAGATTTTTCTCTTAATGAAGAACTAGTTACATTGAGGCGTTACAATCATATTACCTGTAACAATAATTATATAATTGTCATTTGTTGCTCGAGAACAACTCCCTGAATATCCAATTAGTTTCCTCTCCAACTTGTGTACTTTTCCGATTTGAGAAAGACCTACAAATACTTACAAATAAGACAAGTATTACAATATTTATAATAATTAACATCTCATAAGAATATTTGGTTAACCTTTCGGTATGGCAAACAATCATTAAACAAATCGGAAATTCTGTGATTTTTAAAATTTCAAGGTTGGATTTCTTCATATTAGATCCCAAAATACGACCTACCATAATGAAGACCGATAGAGAATCGGGTGTAGAATATTTTACTGATAACTGAAAATCTAATTCATATTACTTATAAATACAGGGCTACGGAAATGATAACAGGCAGCTGGGATTGCGCACGTGGGTTTCTATACAACTTGATAAACAAAGGATGCACAACAAATATGCTGTATATCTATATACAATGCCTAAATTCCTAAAGTCTTTAAATGTTTACACACTATTTATTTGAGAAAATATTCAGTATAATATTGTTGTAGGCATATTGACAATTTTTTTTTGACTGAAACTTGTTCACCTTTCGGTTTCAAGTGATACATTTGCCCAATTACTCTAATTGTAAAAGGCAAAGGATTGTTTCTCTTTCAATCACTCAGTTCGTCATTTTTTAGAGATTCACTCTGGGAAAGAGTCGTAAATATACTTGTATAAAAGAAAAAGTGATACATCAAGATAATCGAAGAATACGGAATTATGAATGTAACTGCTTTGCGTTATAGATGAAATTCTTTTTTACCCTCTAAGAAATAAAAATGTATGACGCTCTAGAGATGGCTTTTTTTGCTTTTAGAGACACGATATCATCTCTGGAATTGGCGTCCATTGATTAAACTATAAAAATAATCATTTCTGAGGTTTCGAAAAAAAATTCATAATCTCAATCATCTGTTTAACAAAATCCTCATTCACTTCAGTGATAAACTGTTCGTCCTCAGAGAGCTCTATTTTGTTCAACACTCCTTCCACCTTTATGCGTTGTTTTGCAGATGAATGGAATTCATGTGCTCCGGATATTTCCATAATTTCAGAAATATTTTCTCGGGTTACACCACCCCCCGGCATGATAATAATCCGATCTCCAGCTTTTTCCACGAGTGTTTTGAGAAGCTTTACACCCTCTATCGCAGTGTTCTTCTGTGCTGAAGTTAGAAGTCTTTCAAATCCTAAATTTATTATATCTTCTAGGGCCGTAAGTGGATTATCAACTTGATCAAAAGCTCTATGAAACGTCACACCTCTGGGTGCAGCTGCAGAAACTATTTCTCTACAAAATTCTTTCTGTATTTCGAAATTTTCCGTCAACGCTCCGAAGACGAATCCGTCGGCACCACTTTCACTCAGAATTTTGAGGTCATAAATCATCACGTCCATTTCTTCTCTCGTATAGACAAAGCTACCAGGTTTGGCACGGATCATGCAGTACAAAGGAATTTTTGAATATTGCGATTTTATTATGTGGACCAATCCTGGAGCAGGAGTTAGTCCGCCTTCGGATGGAGACGCACAAATTTCCAACCTTGTGGCCCCACCATTTATTGCATTGCGTGCCGATTTTAGCGAATAAATTGCTATTTCCATTGTGTTCTGCACTTCTGGGGGAAAAATTAACATTCCAGGATTTTCAACGGGTTTTATCGATTTGAAAACTTACCAGTTTGATCCAGATGTAGCGATAATCAATCAACTGTGGGAATCACTACCCGGAAATTTCTTATCTGCAATAGCGACGATTGGATCGTATAATCAAGAGTTCCTATTGTTACTATTATTATATTTTCCTCTCTGTAAACTGCCAAGCTCCGATGCGTAACACACAGCCATCAATTGTTCAATGGTACATTCGTTGACTAGAGTTATAAAAAACAATACGTATAATGCAAGTGGTGGTTTTTTTCCGAACTTTAGTCAACGAGTATATGTACTGAGGAGTTAATTACTTCAACGGAGATGGCTCTTCGTTCGTGTACAGCGCGCAAATGATATTCTAACTCGAAAGACAGGTAGAATGCATATTACTTACGTCAGTTATTTCAAGTTTTAATGATGTATTTCTATTGACTTCGTCAGTAGTAAGCTTTCGAGTGTACCCCTAAAATGTGGTACCCCTAAAGTGTAATTCATTCATGGAGGAAAAAAATGAACGAAAGTTCGCGTGACAGTTTCACAGACCTGAGGCGAAGTGTCGATTCGTTAAACATTACGGAATGAACCTCTATTCTGATCTATTACGTAATTGTCGTTTAATGACAGTAAAAATAACACCAAGTCAGTTTAACAGTTCATGTTACTTCCATATTTCTTCGTGAAATGGCATTTTGTGAGATATTTTGAGTTTTCGACAAGATTCTTGACAATTTTTTCTCTCAAGTTATTATGAGGGCGAGGAATTCGGCAATCGGACGAATCAGTTATAAATTATCGCCCATCAATAATAAAAAGCAACATGAATTTTCAAGACGATGAACATCCAGGGTTATTAAAATGAGGAACCTATCGTGCAGTTCTGATGGCCACAACCAGCTGTTTAACTAAATCTTCAGATGCCACGAAGAGAAAACTCTCTCTCTCCGACATTTTGACTTTATTTTCCGCGCATTTTTCAGTAATTCTCATTTTTGCGGATGCATGAAACTCCTTAGCTCCTGATATTTTTTGAATTTCAAGTATGTTGGTTGAGTTGATCCCACTCCCCGGCATCACGACAATCCGATTTCCCGCCACTTGTACGAGCTTTTGAATTAAGTCCAATCCATCTATCGCAGTATTTTTCTGTCCCGAAGTCAAAATACGTTCGAAACCTAGAGTTATGAGCTCTTCCAACGCTACGAAGGGCGAGAGAACCTCATCAAAGGCTCGGTGGAATGTAATTCTCTTTGGTGCAGCTGTTGAAATAATTTCTCTGCAAAAATCGTTATGAATTTCATAGTTTTCAGTTAAAGCTCCAAAAACAAAACCATCTGCACCATTCTGAGACAATATTTTCACGTCAAAGAGCATGGCATCCATTTCTTCTCTTGTATAGACAAAGTTACCGGGTTTTATCCGAATCATGCAGTAGAGGGAAATTTTTGAATACTGCGATTTAATAGTGTGAACCAATCCTGAGGTGGGAGTCAGCCCGCCGTCGGAAAGAGATGAACAGACCTCCAATCGTGTGGCGCCACCTTTGACGGCGTTATGAGCAGATTGCAATGAGTCTACGCAAATTTCCATCGCCTCTCAGGATTTTCTCTGTTTTCTCTGAAAAGATCAAGACGATTTAGACAACTCGTATTTTTATCGAAAATGAAACTTACTTGTGTAAATTGAGATAATAATGATTGGTGTGATTCAACGGTTTGGAGGAATGTCTAATGCCCAGTTAGTTGCTCCAAGACCTGCAAGCTCCAAGTATCAACTTATCAACTGGAAACCCGAAACGAGACAGTTACTGTTGAGGTCTCGAGAAAATCTATCGATTCTTCTTGCCCGAGAATCGATTCTTCAAGTATAATTTCTGGAAATCTTGATTGTAAATAAACGACCATAATATTTACATAAATTTAATGTCCAATAAATCTATAATTGAAATTTTTTCTTCCTTGATTGATATATATTTTTAGTAAAAAAATTTTTAATAAAGTATTCTGTAAATAGTATGGCGATAAAGTTAACGATAGGAATCTTTGATAAAATTTATTTGATACCTTGGCTGGTACCTTACCAACCAACATTGAAACAAAGGAAGATCTGGTCGGATACAAACTCGGTCCCAATGAAGTGAATGTAGAGACCAGATCATACATAATCTTTGGGGGGTTCATACCTACCATCCCCGTCCCCCCGGAAGCTCTGGGTAACGCCGAGCGCTGGTATGATTTCGATTCAATCATTTCCAGTGTGTAGAATCTAAAGAAATTGATCTCATTATAAATTTCTAAATTCCTACCTGTAGAAGGGAGGAAGGGAGGAAGGGAGGAAGTCTGGTACATGAGGTGACTTGAATGTAATAAATCCAAAAGTAAAGCCTATTAGCCTACGTCGCAAATTATAAGTCAGGAAAATTTTGCAAAAGTTGATAAAGTTGATAATGACCGATAAGACTTGTGTTGATTACAAATCACCAACATTTTTAAACATTCATATCTGAATTTATTTATATCTACGCATTCTATCAAACGAGTGGAAGAAAGCTTTATTGTTAGAAAACGGTATATGTATTTATAAAAAAAAATTGCTTGAGATAACCGATGGTATTGCAATTTTTGAAATAAGCAATTACATACCAATGTAAATGAAGCGACAATACAAATTGTCGTCAGATCAGAAACTTTACCTGAAAAGACGATTTGTCTTTCGATAAAATGCATAACTATTAATGAGATATAAATGGTGGAATGTCTATATTTGTGGAAAGCACATATTTACCGACTTAAAAGACTATTTGTGCAATTCTAGTCGGTACACTGATTAACCAATAAATTAAAAAAGCTGATCCCTCTCAAAATGATATTCAATGGTTTTCAGACACAACAGCTTAATGTACATTTCCAATTTTTCATGGCATCTTTTATTTATTAAAAACTAGTTAAACATAGAATGTCATAAATGATTGAGTACTAACATGGTGCGAGAGAAGGGTTTAATTTGAAATAATGAATAACAGAAGTTTAAAAGAATTAAATATTGTATTGACATTGATGAGGCTAACACACTTTTTTTCTCTTAGAAATTTCTTTGCAATAAGGATAAAAACGAGCATAAATGAAAATATATAGTACAACGTATAAAAAATGAACAAAGAAATTAAAAATACGAATAATACATATAAGTTGTCCCTCCGAATCAGTCGAGGAAAAAAATTACTCCTAACGGGATTGAAAAAAAATCTCTTTAATAAGACTTAAATAATTCATTATGTGGTATTCAGTAATCGAAATCATGGAGACTTTTTTTATAGTGAGCAGTCTCATAGTGAGGCCAAGTTCATTAAAATATGTCGTCTCACATCGTTGCTGTTTACAATTTCAGGACGAAAAACAATGACGATTATATCATTTTAATTTATCTGCGGAAAACAACAAACAAATAGAAGACAACTAATCACTTAAAGTTTCATCAAATTCATGGCATGTTTTCCATTAAATTAGACGAGAATATCCACTCAATGAATATTTCGTAGCAAGTTGATTGATTTTTCTTTTAATTAAAAAAACAATTACGTATTGCGGAAATTTTTGTCATATAGGCATCGGCCGTACTAAGTAAGCACAGCCAAAAGACAATTAATAATACAAATTGCACGGATTCACCGTTCAAAGATCATAAATAAATTCAAAATAACCTATAGAAGACTTGATTGCGTAATTTGGAACACACTGCGTATTTTTTTCCATAATTGATATATTAATAGTATTTGTGAAACGAAAAATTCAGATAGCAATATCATATTCACTAGTTTCTTTGAACGTTTCCAAATTTTCGTGTTTAAGTTAAAAAAAAAATTGTATTCCGCTCAAGGAAATCCCATCCGAAAAAAATAATTCCCAACTATTTGATAAATTTTCTCTAAATAGTTGTAAGGTTTCATACATAAATCATTCACTTGATCAAATCAAAATGGATTGTTAAATACATCCCAAATTGATCCGGAAAATCACTTTCAAGTCCACACAAAAATTTAAACATTTAATTTTCATCAGGAATTCAATGATTGTGAATGAAAATAATATTCTCCGTTGAATAATTAGTGTCTTCACGCATAGAATCTGATCAACAAATTGAGCAATTTTGATTGATGCTATATTTGCTTTAACTCTGTATCTTGACTCCTCTGTTTGCCCAACTCTCTGGCCAACATAAATCGCAGTGTCTGTATTATTTGTGACTCAATTTTTTAAATTAGAGAGCACGAATTAATATCGACATCAGACCTGATTGGCCACTGGTGTTGCCCCGCCGTTAGCCACGATGGTGGTTGGGGCAGTTGTTGATGAATTGGTGGTCGTTGACCACTTGTTCTTGTGGGGGTCAACGCCGAAGCCCTCGTCATAGTTACCACGGGCTATGAAGAGTTGCTTGAAGTGGGGAATGCAGTAGAGTTTACCATTGTTCAGGGTAAATGTATCCATTCTAAAAAGAAAGTTATAAAATTTTTTATTATTCCAGCCAGAAATCATGCGAAAAATGAGAAAATTAGAAATTAAAAATGAGATTAATATCATCCATCAATTAATTCATTAGCTCGTGTTTTATGCTTTGATATTCTTCAATTTTCATTTTGAAAATGATTGATTTCTTGTCTATTTATGGCATGTTATTGGATATTTGATAAATATTTTGATAGGACAGATAAATTTACGTTTTAACAAAACATTATAAGAACTGTGGCACTCTCGAATTTTTAGATAATTTTTTAGTCGATAACAATCCAACTTATTTACCTCAAAACACAGTTACACTGTAAACATCGGAAGCAATGTTTATGGAATATTTTGTTATTCGTCTCCACCTTCTCCAATGGATAAACCTTCTTCTCGCAGCTTTCACAGACATCAGTACAGGCAGTTTGAATTTCCTGATTATATTGAAAACATTTTGAAACAATAGTAATCAAACGTGGGCGCAAATTGACAAAACCATAGTTCAAAGTAAAAAATTTCCGAATTATTCGTTAATATCATAAGAATTGGCGAGCTTGAAAGATAAATGTTAGAAAACGTTTTGCTTAGGAAATTTTCGACAAAAGAAAATCTCACATTATTCTCACAATTTTCATTTTCTCATGCTATTTTCGGAATAATACAAAATTTTCTCTTGAATTGCTATTTTTTTAATCTTACCTTCACCGCTGAAATAATCATTTTAGAAGATGGAAAGGGGTGATAGAAGGATTGCGCATTTGACCGTTCAATAGACTCTCACTTAATTATCCCAATGATTAAAATAGACAGTCTAATAGTTCCTCTTCGACGAAACGTAGTAACGTTTGTTTATTGGTTGTCATTAACTTCCGCAGTAAAAAGATACAAGTCGAAGTTCACATTTTATAATACAATATTGTTGTATAAGAAATTCCATAACTCTAAGCGATTACATAATGTATTGCTATGTTTTTTTATTTCATTTGCAGTGAAGAATTTTTCTGATTAATGCAGATATGTGGTAATCTTCAATTCATAGAGATGTTAATTATGAATAAAACAGACCAGAAATCCTTCAACTCGATCGACTGAAAATTTCTCAAAAATCTAAATTAGTGTGGAAGTATTTTGGAACATATTGTTAATGCATTCATTGTCTGCGATTACTTTTGGGTTTTGGCTCTTAATTACCATCGATGCTAACAGATAATAATGTGGTAAGAATGACATTTTTTATTGAGCTTAAGTATGTCAACAGATTTGCGTTCGTTAATATGAAAAATTCAATATGGAATAGGTGAATGAAATTGTAGAAATTCTGAAATTTTATTTGTTTCTTTCAGCATTTAGCAGGAAAATGAAAATAAAATCTAATAAAATTTGTAAATATTGGTTTTGCACTAGATTGTTCCTTGACAGTAACCAACTTCGATCCTTTGAAACGCTATTTTTAATTTAATTTTTTTCCTTCCACACAAAGTTTTCGTTGATATTGTTCAATTCTCATTTCAAATATAGAAACCATGAGGACTTTAAAGTATGCCATTTGGTTTCTCAAAAATAAATCGTTGAAACACTAACTGTTCTCATCAGTCTTTTTCATTATTTCGCAGACTCGTAGTTACATTGTTCTCTTTTCCCTCATAATTGTTAATTGGCACGCGAAAGAAAATTGTACAGATGTTAATGAATCATTCAACGACTGAAAATAGAAATCTTTGACTTAGGAACTACGTCTACTGAATAACGAATTTCAATTAGGAGTTTCAAATGATGACAGATTACATATTGCACTTTTTTTTTAATTTTCCAAATTCACCCATTTTGTTTAGTTTTTAGCACGAATTAAATACGTGAGAATATAATACATGTAATAATCTACAGTAAATCGTATCGAAACCTAACTTTGTCAATTAAAATTCTCTATAAAACGTAAACACGTTTGTAATGATTAGAATAATCATAATTATTTGGTAAATAATATAATTTTTCGTGCTGTTAATAAAATCCCTGACTGTGAAAAGTACTTTGATGCTCCACGGTTGATTCCTCGCTGCTCATCGTACTGGTGTCAGTCTTCAAGTCTTACTGCCTCCCAAGAATTTAAAAATTCAGTCAAGTATGAATTATTTTGATTGTTGGTTTGCGTACTCTTCACACGACACACTCAAGAAAATTAAGGTGACGGTATCGATACGCTATTTTACAGTGATTTTTTAAATTGAATCATTCGAAAGTCGGGGAAACTTCTGCGGATACTGACCATCTCTGCATTTCTCTGATCCATCAAGATAAACGCAATTAAAATTTAATTTTAATAAACCTCGTATCATTCATAGATCGGAAATTGTTGAGCCTGTCATTACCTCTTTTCTCCAGGAAATTCCCTTTGCTTTACTAAACAATGTGCAAGTAAAGAATAAGGAATGAACGTTTTTTTTAACATTACTTATGTATGGCTTTCAAAATGCGGATGTTTTATGCCGGATTAATGGAATTAAATGAATGTTAATACTGATCATAAATTTTGAAACATTCAAAGTGAAAGGAAAAAAACAAACTAATGGAGAGAGATCCACATAAACAGAGGGGGTACAACTTGTATTTTCTCAGCGAACCGTATTTTTATGATTATTATATCGTCATTCAACTCACTCAGTCAATTTAAATTTGATTAATTTAATGAGAATTGATTTTCATTTAATTGTAAATAGCATTGAATGGAATGTTAAAAATGCGTAATCTAAATGCAATTCGTAAAAATGACACGATTTATTTATATGAAAAAAACTACTTTTGATAAATTCAGTTAAATAAGAGAACTGTCATAGATGATTGAATCTTGAATCGAATTAAACTTCCAGTCGAAAATTCAAACACAGCTGTTAATCAAAATTGAAAATCTACTGGAAAAAAAATGTGAAGCGCTCTTCTGCGGCATTTATCGTAAAGGTATTGATATTTCATGCGCCCTAAATTCAAAATCATGAAAATGACATGAAAAATATTGCAAAATATTATATTTATACTATACACCACATGTTTGAGGGTGCGAATTTGCATGATGAAAACAAACGATTCCGTCACCTTAAAATAATTGTTCATCCAGGTTGAAATAAATTGCCGAGGTGCAGTTTCGTCACAGTAGTCAGCCTAGGTACTAGATTATAAATGAAATTATAGTCATCGCTCATGCTAGGCAGACACCAAAAGAAGGAATAAAACCAAGAAAATGGGAAAATTACAAATTAACATTTTTAAATTATACTTTGAAACGCTAGAGATTTCAACTGACATTTATGTAAACTGTAAAAATCCAAATATTAAACAGAGTTGATTTGAAAAGCTACAGATTTTCTTTCAAGATAGAGATGCATTCAACACTCAATTTTAATTGTATAATTTCTTTTCGTCATTTCTGGAATCCATATGTATAAAAATTTGTTAATAACGTTAAATTATTCAGGTGCGGACATTGAGTTAAGATAATGAAACTTGCATGACGCTCTCTAGTTTCACGAGACTGGTTTAATTATAGAGGATTGAATGCCCGAATGATTTCAGTAGCGACGAGGTACAAGTGCATTCTTTCCGAAATTAGTCCTATTGTTATTATCACTCGGAGATTGATATTATAATTCATGCAAAAAAAAATTGAATGCATCTATATTCTTCCACTTCTCGACTGATTTATACTAAGAAATTACCAGCGGTAATTTTTTCAATTAAAAATCTCAACTCACAATGATTTTTCTTTCAACAAAAAAGTTCTTTCTTTTGGTGCACAACAACGTAAAAAATGAAATAACTATCTATTATTAATACAATGCTCAAGCATAATGAATAAATGTGAAATGAAGGCGTATAGAGGAGTGATGAAAGAAAATAGTGACGCATAAATAAACGTCCACATTATTTTTTAAATAATGTATATGCGGTACACAATCGAAATTGTTACAGAAAACATTTCCCTGCATTTGTCTCGGGACTTTCCAGTCTAAGACATCTTTGTAAAATATTTTCCGTGCATCACCTCCTTTCAATACTTCACTACAAGGGCGTTAAACATCAAATGATTATCTTAAAACTTATGTTACATCAAAATAATATACAAAATGGATTATAGTTTATTTTAAAAGTAGAGAAACCACAACATTGAAGCTAGAAAACGGTCAAACGCATCTCACAGTAAAACAAAATATTGCAATAACGATAAAAAATATGGATTTTAAAGAATTTTTTGTTCAGCAAATGAAACTCACCACAAATCTGTTGACTTTGACTTTGGCAGCGCGTGGTGCTTCAGCAGGTTGTGATCCAAGAGACTCAAATCTGGCCCTGAGACTTCTTGCAGACTCTATGCTCTGTTGCTCACCATCTGCTGTCTGAGCAAGATCCATCTCGGCAACATGATGACTCGTTGTTTTTCCATCAGTCGTTTCCCATTGCTCAAACTTAGCGCGAAGTGTCTTTGCTTTTGCTGCATTCTGAGCTTGTTTTAAGAATTCATCTTCGACCTGAGACAAATCACAAATGGTCAAATAATAATAATTAAAACACACAATGTTATCACGTTTTATACATTTTCGCAATATGTCGGATGAAATCAATAAAAAAATTAAGAAAGTAGTAGATTTTACCTTATCGGAAGCCCTGACATAATTGGGATCTCTCTCCTCATCACTTCCAGACTCCTCTCCTTCTTCTTCCTCTTCGTCTTCAGAGTCTGATGCAGTTGGCCTGGCATATTTGTCTTCAGGTGGTGGAGTAAAGCGTTTCAGAGGCTTCGGTCCATCGGGTAAGTCTTCTTTAGTCGCTTTTTCCTCCATTTGTCTGAAGATAGAGAGCATTTTTCGTGCAGTGTCTGTATGAACGACTTCGTCCACTCTATCGTCTGCTCTGACGACGTCAGGATCACGATAAATTTCGCGTTCTGGTGAATTCACCTTTTGACAGAAAATCGAACGAGTTGTAACGTTGTACAAGGATAAACTGATAAACAGTGATGATTAGTCTCAAACACAAAATCAAATACTATGCACATCTGCAAAAAGTATTTCGCACTAATAGTCCATTAACTCATGATACATTGGGTGAAAAAATATAAATTTTATGGACAGTTTAGTACGTATTGACATGAGAGTGACACTGAGCGCAATCTAATGTAGGGAGGAGGAACATGAAAATTCGGTAAAATTCCAGAATTTTAAGGCGCTTGAAGATGGGAATCTCTCAATTCACTCATATTTCCGATTTAATATGTATGAATATTTACCGGTAACTTATTTGGAATTTTTAAGAATATATTTACGACATTGAGTAAGCCATCAGTTATTTTTCACAGTGATTCACCACTTTTCTAATGATTAGTAAAGTTTCAAATGAGTAGAGCATTTTTACCTTTAAATGCTTTACGAATAAGCACAAGTCAGCATCATATTTAACAAGTATCTCACCATTTGCTTTTGTGACATCTCTACATTTATTCACTACTAAAGTCATGATTCACTTCAGATTGCATTTTTTTTTAGGTGCTTTAGTCATTCTTTTATCTTGCTGATAGCAAAGGACTGATTTCTTAAGCCGTGAACTTCTGACTGGCTCATTTTTCGAAATTGTCGAAAGGCAGAATTTTTTTGATTAATTATAATCACAAAAAAAGGCCAAAGCGTGATGCTCTTGTAAATAATTCTTCATAATAATTTGAGGAAAATTCATCATTCCCCTCGGAAATTCCAAGCACAAACATTAGATTTGCAAACGTAGGTGGAATTTAAAATGAACCCCCACATCTTTTTTTGGCGGAGGATTAGGGCACTCCTTCAGTCGGAATCTGATCCTTCCGGCGAAAAAGCCTTTCTACAAAGTCAACAACCCATTAAAACCTAGACTCAACCATGAATCTCAGAATTCGTTTGAAGAAATATCCACATCAACTTTTCATTAAAAAGATACTGTACTGCCACGATCACCGCGCGTCTCAAATATTACAAACCATTATTTAATTTTGTCGTTTTTCCCGTCATGACACGGTGGTATCTTCTTCGCAGATTATGACTTGGCCTAACGAGTTGGCTCGTTATTCTCGAGTTGGACCGTTACAGATACCGGCGTCTGGTTATAAAACGTCCAATGAAAAATAATAAAGCTCAAACTGCGAAAAAATATCCAGACGACTGCTCTTCAAAATCATTGATTTTCACTGATTAAATTCTCATAATTGTGTATCAACAAACTTACGCATTTAGATAGATTTGGAATTTGCAAATTTGTGATTCTAAACGACTTTAAAGTTTTGAAAAACATTGAGAAATAATATACCACTCCCAAGTAAATACAGATTGAAATAAGTAAACGTCTTAAATCTCTGCAGAAAAAATCCATTGAATTTTACGTTTTCAAATAAATGTGTTTTATGCTAATTACCATATAAGTTATAAGCTAATTTTAAAATATTTGAATTTTCCTGGAAAAATATTGCGGAATGACACAGTAATTGCAGTGACAATGATAATTCTGTCGTATCTGCAAGAGAGATTTATCGGAATTTCACTACGATAATACCCCGAGAAACGACTGAAATGTGGAATTGAGTTTGTTTACATGCCCGAATCAATTTATTGATTTTTCAATCAGCTGGATAAACGAAGCTAAGAATAGCCTCATTAAAAATTCAAGGACCTTTGTTTGGCTGTGCATACATACAATATTATTTAAATTGACATTAAGACCACGGAATTCTGAAAATCAAAGATATGATGTACATTTTGGGACGATGTAAGAAATACGTGGAATTTTCCCTCATGAACAACGACTTGAAATTCCGGAGATGAAATTCTATTTTCGCCCAAAAGAGTGCAATCCGCGATATATCGTAGGAAGCTAAATGATTTTTATAGCCTGACGATATATGCATGATACTTGGAAAGTATGGAGTACTTAAGAATTCCGAGGAAGTTGTTTGACTTTGATTGGGAGAGATTACTTAGTTGGATTGAAGGGGAGCGAGTGAAATCACATATGACTGGTCTAGCTGATTAGCTTACGGTGACCATTTTGATAAGTCACGGTTCCGCAATAGATATCCTAAGCAGGAAACTATGAAAAATAACGCGTATACGAAAACACCATGAAATCATTCACTAATCATAAAACTCCGTGATTCCGGTTCGACATCGCCATTCAACACTTCCATAAACCATTAAAAATTTTGCATTATTTAACATTTTTTCAGGTGATTCCCCTCTTTTTAAATTAGATCAAAAAGTTGGATTATACTTCGGCCACGGAGAAATATAAATACAGCGAATTTCAATATTACATTAGCATATTTGTTAATAAATTTTGAATATTGCCATGATCTTCACCATTTAAAATGAACACCATTTGTTAAAAATCAGTAAACAGACGAGTTGACCGAGGCCTTATCAAACTGATAAGTGCCATTGTTTTCCAATTGACACATTTCTATTAAAAAAAGCGCATCATCGAAAAAGTGATAAATTATCCACCTGAATGGTTGAGTACAAAACACTGGCAATTTTTTCTCAACTACATTTCACATTTTCACCTGAAAAAAGTTCACTGTTAAAAGCCGGTGTCTATAGTCTCCAATACACGACCATTCCTCTTATCGTCCTGTCTATTCTTTGCGATAAAGAGCCCCCATCAGCCACTTATTTTCCACGTAGTAACAATAAGTTATGGATAATCATTACCTCGCTCATTTTCAGATACTTTCGATTACTGTTGAAATTCGCTTTTGAAAAGTGTAAAAACAGAGACACTAGATGCTCGATTGAATAGTAATTATTCCAAATAACTTGATTGCTTAATGAATTGTTCTTAAGGCAATTGCGAAGCCGGTTGTTGATTGTTGATTGGTAGTTGTTGGTTGTTGGTTGTTGGTTGTTGCACCGAGTACTGAAGCGCACTGGTTGGTGGTATATAAACGGGTGCGTTACTGGGTGGCCGGTGGTTTGGCGGCTATCTTTCTCAACATAAGAAGAGGATGGAATACACACACTCTCTTCAGACCGAATGGAAGGATGTAGGAACACTAACGGTAAAACCTTAGCAAGCAACTTCTCAGGGTTCAAGGGCAGTCGAAGAATCAAGTGCCACCCGTGTATCCCTCTCTGGCCTTCGTATTTTCGCATTTTTTTTCAAGAGCTGTAATTTTTCTTGCAACTTTCAGGATACACTCCACGAGTTCACTGATAAAACCCATTCGTTATTGTATAACTACTAATTATATTATATATTACATTTTTGAAGAATTTTCGTCTCTCGAGTGAAGCATTCGTCAACTATTGAAAAAATATTATTCTTAATATTGGTAAATTCATTTGAGTGAGAGCTGGCCTCCATTCTGTGCTTCCAACTGATTTTTTAACATCCAAGTATGAATTTGGCAAATATTATGGCAAAATTTTTCAATATACCGGTGAATCTACTAATCAATAATGGGCAAAATTTCAAGTTGTCGACCAATAGAAAAATCACGTAAAAAATCTCATGTTTACTGGTCATGAATGAGATAGAATTGGGGATTGATAAATTTAGCATTTTTCCCACTTTACCGGCTGGTCGATAATACAGAAAAAAATGCAAAAATTATCAATCCCGCACATGTTTTTTCCATTATTATTCTATTGATAAGCTCCATTTCGTTCCTCGGTAAATTTTCAATGAATTAAAAAGTGTTTCTTATTTACTCTATTCCCCAAGTCTATCTTTAATGGAAATATACAGAAGTGTATAAATGTAATTATTGGTATTTTCCCTCATAATCCCAATAATGACTTTCCCATGTTTTATTGGAGTAAAATGTAGTTTTCGTATTAATTGATAATGAAAAAATTTAATTTTCTGACTACTTTTTTCGATTTGTGAATGAAATATTGAATTTCCAAATTTGGCATTTAAGTATTTTGATTTTCAATAGAATAATTAGCAATTATAATAGTTAATTAGGAAGGAATATTAATGGAGATAAACTCCGGAAACAATTTAGAAGAGAATTTGCGAGGCTTCCTCTCAGTAGGTGAATAGCAAACGGAAACGTAAACGTAATTTGATGGTCGGCAGTGTAAACTGCCGACATTTCGTACCTCTGGAATGGCAAATTAATTTGAGTGGGTTATTCGCGCGAAAAAGCCGCAGAACGGCCTTGGTCTGACTCCCCTTTGTCTGTCAGTGTTTCTCCACTTATGTTCAAGTACCCCAAAGCCTTACAGTGGTTCTCTTCCTCTCATCACAGAAAGGACACCCTCCACACACCCGACTCCCTTGTTCCCATTTTCGGACAAAGACCATCTTTGTCAATGGCATCAACATTTTTTCCCCATCAAGTTAGTCCACACCACTCAATTTCAATTCCATGCAAATAAAAAGCAATGTTATTGCAAATTTATCTCTGCTTATGCTTTATATATTTCCCATTTACTTTGCTGCCTACTTTAATTTCACGAGAAAAAGCGAGATATCTCATTTGCTTCTATTTCCATCCCTTTTTGGAAGATGCAATGCGAGATGTTTTTTTTTTCTTAAGAAATGGTGTATTTCAGCAATTATTGAAAACTCAAGCGAATGTCTTAAAAATGTGAAAACCTTGTGGACAGAAAATTCGCAGAATTTCAATATCTCATATTAATGTTTGACGTTGTTAATTGCTTTGAGTTATGAAACAATTAGAAACAAATGAAGTCTCGGAGCTCTGACGAACCTTGACCTGTCCGTCACGCGGAGGTGTTATTCGGAACTGTTTTCTCATCTTTTCGGGCTCCCGGTATGTTTCAAAAAATTTAAACTTATTGGTGATGTCAGATGTTTCCACCTGAATTTCTGCAGTTGTGTCTGTGCTTCGAATCACATCGTCTGATACCTGTCGTCCCATGAACGCCTTTTTTCCAAAAAAAAAACGTATTAGTGATCCTCTCAATTTGAATAACAAGGTGAACAGATGACTCACAAAGAGTTTTTTTTTAATCTTTAAATATATTGAAAATGATCGGTGGATTGCCATGATGTCCATATTTCCTGCTTTGTAATCAGTGAAGAAGAAAAAATATTGAGACGCACATTTATCCCAATTTTATCGTTTTATCATTTCATCGATGATAACGTCATTTTGAAATGATAATCAATAAGAAATAGTCCTTTCTTAAAATTTATCTTTGTTCTTTAAATGACATCGTAACCGTTCCATTGGAGTTTCTGAATTTTTGTGCTGAGATAAGTGAATATTCCTATAATTTTATAAATATTCTATTCTTTTTTTTATGAATAAAAAATAATTCTTTGTATTAAATTAAACTGTATTAAAACTGCTATTGTTTCTCAGTATAGATTCTACGCATTTTTATTCCTTGATATTAATTCAAATCTAATTAATTATAGTGTTTTAAAAATATTCATAAAGGAAAAAAAACATTTTTCCGCGATCACTGGCAAAATTTTCTTTGAAGGGATTTAATAATAATCGAAACGATTTATGTTTGTGCCTTAGATGTATTAGCGCACGACAGGAATCAAATAGATCTGTGATCAGATATAACAACTTGTTGATGAGATGTTTTCGACGAGAAATTTAGTTTTCTGATATTATTTTCAACTATCATAAAAACGCTTGCATTAAACCTCAGAAAATTAATTGTAATAAATTATTTATCAAATTAAAAAATTTCGTGTCTAGTAGTGACCATTATTCAGAATCTATTTGAGAACGAATATATTAGCGTTTTGGAAATTGTAATTTTCTGAGCATTACGTACTACTACAAATAAATATAGAAATCATCTTAGAATTTTATTTGTAGTGTAAATATGAATATCAAAAATATTCATATTCTAATTAGTCATATAATGAACCATTTACAAACAAAAAAAAAATAAATTGCTAATTGGTTAGGCACAATGACTATTATGTCATTAAATCAATAATTATAATAACATTATCCAATCCTAACTTATGTGAAGACCTAATATTTAGTTTGTTCAAAGGAGAAATCTCCATGTCGTTAGGCCTTTGACAGTTTTTTAATGAAACCTAAATATCTTTGATCAATATTGTTTCAATCATCTAGAAACCTTTTGCGGCTGGAATGCAAAACTGTAACTTTTTAGAGATTTCGGAGATTTGTCGATATATTAATTGTGAGGAAAAAGGTATCTAGTGACGGATTGCTTTTTTTACATTAACTTTTTGAAGAATTTATAGCATTAGCCAAACATTATTGATACTGAAATATTTACATATCTTTTTGTTAATTCTTTTCATTTGATAGAATAAACCGGATATGGTAAAAAATATAAATTTGGTATGATTTCTTATATTATTTGTTAGGGCAGTTAATGGGTATAAAAAAGGAAACTTACATCTCGTGCACGTCTCGGTGTCTCAGTAGGTGTTTTAGGATTAACAGGCGTCACAGGTCGTCCGGTCTTAGCTGCAGTAGCATCCAATTCCAAAAATAGAGAGCGGGATTTCCTGCTTATACCTGCGAAAGTATGAATTAGGTCGCATTTGCTAAATGACGATGAGAACAGTGGCTTTTGAGTTAAATTCCCATCACCTCAAACTGTTACTCTAACGCATAACGTTCAATCATTTCCTCTTAAAAACTCGTAACATGCCTCATTCAAGTTACCTAGTAAATGATCTGTGAGAATTAGGATGCCTCTGTTTTAAATAAATGGCAATTCTTTTTGCCTAGGCATTTTTATTGAGTTTTGAGTAAATGAAAGAATGACTTCACATTAATTTTACTTTTCTTTCAACTAATGTAGTATCCTACGAGAAAAATATAATTCGATGAATGTTCATTAAAAGAACAAAATGTCTATGGCAATTTCATTGAAAATAAGAATCTAGAATGTGGTCCATCACAGGTTGTACATGAAATTCCTCTGAAGGGATAATTTTGTTTAAATGATATGAAAATTTACCAGCAGCAATGACATCCTCATCTGGTTTTTCTGCTTTTGGTTTATTGTCCGTCTCGTCCTCATCAACAATAATAGGTTCGCCCCTCTCGAATCGCTCTTTAATCGATCTTGCAAGAGTGGAATTCTGAATCTCTTCAGCGGGATTAATCTTTGTGACCTTTTCGCTTGTTGCAACTGCCTGCTGGTACATCTCCTTCATCTTGCCCTGTTTGCCCTAGAAGAAAGCAACAACATTCAGAATCGCCCCGAGAGGTACAAGATTGTATTCAACGTAGAAATAAAGGAGTAGAAATGGAAAGAAAAATAAAATGGCTAAGAAGGGTTGGACGTCTCTTACCATGAAGAGTCTTGATCGAATGCCAGCCATCTCCTCTTTACGAGCCTCTCGTTGTGACTCCCTTCTTCCCTGCTGGCTTGTGACTTCCCAGCGATTCTTCATATCGTCCATCTTGCTGAAGCTCATTGGACGCTCGCGAGTTGTACGTTTCGATTTTACTATCTCAGAGTCTATGAGGAGAAGAACAAAGATTAATTCACAATGAAAATTGGAAAAATAAAAATTATAAAATCCAAAATAATCTAATAATTTCATGACATTTTTTTCTTCATAGATAATTTTCTATATTTTCTATTAACACCCGAGAGAGGATTAAACGTCAAACAATGGATATATTAGAAATGCTAATTACGATATCAAATTTGTAAATTATGAGTTTGAAATTCCCGCTGGATTTTATTTTGAAAATTTTTTTATTGTTAAATATAGAAATGGAATGAAAAATGTTAAATTTATAATTTTCTATTAAGACGTTATCAATCAAACATGTTTCCCTTGCCCTTGATTCCTTGATTCATCGTTTTTGCTTTTCACACTCGAAATTTTGGATTCCGTCACTTTTTTCAATATAAAAATTTCATACAAAAATTTCAACGATACGTAAAATGTGTGAAATTGCAGACAGTATAAAGAGCAATCATTTTGAAAACAATTGTGTAACTTAAATTTCTGAGGGACGTTTTCCATAGTTTGCATTGAAATTCAATTAATTTATTTAAAGCAATCAATGAGCATAATACCTTCAGTTTCCTCTTCCTCCTCTTCCTCTTCACTCTCGCTGGTCTCCTCGTATGGTATACCGTTCAATGACTCGTCAGCTACGCCAATATCCATTCCCTTTGCCTGGAATCTGTGATGCAATATAATCTTAACTTTTGTTACGAACATCAACGAAGGAAAAAGAATGAATTCCAGTAAAGCAACTGTGCGAAACTCCGATTTTCTTCAGTGGTTTGCGAAATTTCGCTGACCACCGGAGTAGAATCACATTTCCTCTGTCGTAACGTGAGATTCGAGAACCTCTGTGGATTCTCTTTTTGGTCTTTTGTTGGAGGATAAATGTTATCGAGGTTCTACGTAACCAATGCAAGAGACTCAACTAATTAATCAATACCTGTTTGCTAAAGTAATTGTAACTTGGCGTTTAAATCTTATTGTGGATTAATGTTAGCTGGAAACGAGATATTATTTAATGTGCAATGAACTGACTTAGCGAGCTTGCTGAGGATACTCGGTGACCTCTTAACAGCGACCTGTGAGGGCGATCGTTCAATCTCGTTCTTCTCGGCTTCGGACTTCTCAAATACCTGGAAGCGTGATTTAACGTTCAGCGAAGACAGCTCCTCGAGTCCAAGGTCAGGCTTGTCAGATGCTATAACATCATAAACAACAAATTCAGTTTTTATTGTAATTGATGTTTGCAAAACACACAAAGAAGCTTGTTATCAATACGTTAGGAGGCTAAAATCATTGCAAAAATAACCGTATGAGATGGTAATTGTCAGTACCACAATTTTCTCACGCTCCTAAATATTTACAATTCATTTTTTTTTAGTAAAATTTTTAATGCGTTAATGTCTACCCAGTAGATGAGATTTCTTCACTCAACACAGTTTGTTTTACCTCTGACCACATCGGGTGGCAACTCTTTTGGCTGGTTCTCACGTATGATCATCTCTGGTTTTCTCGGTCTCACTGAGAAATTTTTTAATCGATGTCAATAAAATATCGATCACGATCCTTTTAACTTATCAACAACTAGCAAAAATATTCAGAAATTCATTTATAGAAAATCTGAAGTTAAAGGGAAAAAACATTGTTTTTTGCATTTTCCTGTAGAACGTATCCCCTTCAGCCGTTCTCTTTCCAAAAGATCATTTTAATATGAGGTCATGTGACAAAAGGTCGAATGAGTCAACCGCTGACAACCGCTTTCCCCCTTGGAAATCCAATTGCCGAATTCTTCCACCATTGGTTTACTTGAAAAACTGTCCCTTGAGAAACGAAAGGTTGAAAAAAAACAGCATTAATTTTCAAGCGGTAAGGGTCGCTGGTTGACTCATTTGCTATGAGATATGGAATACCTCACAGAAAAGTTTGCACTATTGGTAAGCTGTGATTTCACATAATTAAGAGAATTTCCACTTCTACTCGCCAACATATTGCCAGAATGACAAAAATTGATACAACTACATGTTTTCTCAAAAAAGCATGGTAATAATTATGGTTGGTGATGATGACAAATAGGAGAATGGTTTAAACTAAGAAGGACAGATTATATGGATCGCTTACTTAAAATCATCCTTACCAGGTTGATCCGATTCTTCAACCGGTTTGGGTTGAAACAGCTCCTTGAAGTGCGCTTTGCAGTAGAGGATACACTCGTTGCTCTCGTAATTGTCGACATTCAGCTGCTTACTGCACTGTACACATCGGAAGCAGTTTTTGTGCCACACCAGTCCCTCGGCCTTCGTCTGTTCCATTTGGAATACGACCTTGCCACAGCTGCGGCAGTTGGGATTCGCATCGCCATTTTGGCCCACCTGGTAATACCATCACAATGTAGCTTTAAGACGGCTTTTTTATGGCTATGAGAAGGAGACCGTGACGTAATGAGAGGATGGCAATCCATACCCTATTTTGGGAGATTATCAGTGGGATACATGATTCACACTTACTGAGTTCAACTGCTGATGGACTTTTGAAGCATCCACCGAACGCACGTGAAGGACGTTCTTCTTGGTCAGGGCGTCGAATTTATTGAAACTCGATTTCTGAAACACCAATTCGAAAATCAGAGGATTTCATCGCTCTCACCGAGCACGCCACAAAAATTGTCGAGAAATCACTTTTTCAATTCAGTATTACCTATAATAATCTATTTTCAACAACAATTTTCAAAGAAAGCTGCAATAAAAGATTTCAACTGTTTCATCTTGATGCTGTTCAATGAACACCGAAGAATCTAAACGCAAATGACCATTTCAAATTTGTAAATTCCCAATTCAATGAAAACGTGAAAAGTATCTTCGAAACTTCAATTCATGGTACAGGAATTGTGACAAAGGAGAAAGTCCAGGAAGTGAAGAATTAACTGAACCCTTTTTCATTCTCAACAATTGATATTGATTTACTCTATTATTCAACATCGTTTAAAATATTGCATTTGATGATCAGTGAATGGAATAAATAATCTGTTTATACTTTTTAAAAAATGTCAAAATACAAAAGATGAAAAACAATGCATTCGAAATTTGAAATCCACTCCACTATTGACAGTCTTAATCTCTCAGCAAAATGAAGTACTGAATTAAAAAACTGAATTTCCCATTGGAATTCAGCTGTTTTCATTCGATGAAATGTGTGCATGTCAACTGTAATAAATTAAGTGAATTAATGAAGGGTAATAGATCGTAGGCGAACAAACTTCCTGGTGCGATTGCTAAAGGTGACAAAGAAGGCTACAAGGTGAGAAAACAACTGATAAACCCCATCACCATGTGATATGATGACCATAATTATGTCCCTTGACTCCTTACCTCGACTCCAAGGAACTTCGGACGTGATCTCGATTCCTGCTCAATGCTTCTCGTTAAATTTGCCAAGCTACAGTAGGATGCCCTCTATAGTTTTAATAGTCATTGGTTTGTTCGCACAAACAAAAGACCGGAATGCAATTTTAGTACTTGAATCAAGTGATAAAAGCATAAACGCGATCTATGCTATTATTTTTGTCTGTCGACTCAGCTGATTCACTCTTTTAACCACTAAACAAAACAACACTGTCAAAGCATCTGAATCAATGACTGATTCACATTTTCAAAATTAGATTCAACCGTTGGCTAGAGACTGAATACGAAAAGTTGACAAACAAAATTGGCATCACGAGAACTTGAGATTTAACTTTTAAGATCAGAATCAGAGAATGATTAAAACAGTTATGAATGGAAATAATCCACAACAATAATATCAGTTTTATGGATTTCCCTCCATTACAGTATTGAGGATAATGAGGAAATTGAACATGACCATCATATTCACAACAATTCCACAGATCAGATACCAGCTTTAGACGATATTTCAGCATAGATGAATACAAAAATAGCCATGAGAATGGCGGAAATAGTAATTTATGTTACACGGGCTGAAAAGCATATTGGGAACATATTTTATGATCAAATATGTTGCTAAAAAGCTTTTCAGTCTGTGTGGCATACGTTACTTTATGTTACGAGCGTCGACCAACTGAGTACTTTTATTGCCCTAGGGAAGTAGGTAAAAAGGAAGGTGATAAGCAACCACTTACCTCCCTCATATTGTCCCCCTAAGGCGCATATCGTGATTGAATTTGTCAGGGAAATGACTTTCAGGCCATATACCATACATTGTTTTTTGTCACGAGGCCCAGTTAACCGAGTTCTGACCAGGCCTAGGCCTCAAACCAACGAAGTTAGCCCGAACCGGGCTAATTATATGTGATAAACGAATTTTCGGTATACATATGTCGAATATGTCTGGGTAATATATATAATATTTGACCAATTCTGTATACAATTTATCAGGTACATATTATGAAAATATCCCCAACATAGATTTTATAGCTTTTTCAACTGTCGATTTGGTTGTTTAAGATATTTTTTCTAAAATATGATTTCGTTCTTGTGGGTGGTAGAGGTTAAATTGTAGATAAATCCTAAGGACCACGTACAAAATTAGTAATAAAGTTAACGAAGAGTCTGTTGTAACTATTAACCGAGTGTGAGCCAATCATCACCTTACAACTTCCCCGGTAAGTGTTGGAATAATCAGCGATCCAAGTTGTCCTTGGAAAGCAGTCCCCCAAGACTTGGAACATGTTTTCTGGCACTGTCTGAAGTACAGCGACCCGAGATCAAAATTACTCCAAGAGTTAACGAAAACCAACAATTCACGCTCCTCTTCCACCACGAAAATATTTGCATATGCAATTGATGAGAAACACACGAACGCCCATTTATTTTAGAAATTACCTAAATGAATGAATATGAATCGTGTAGCAAAGTAGTAGTTCAACAATTTTCATCGGAAAATCTGAATAAATTATATAATGCTGAGCAAAGATAACTATTTTTCGAACGATTTTTACGTCATATTACGCAAATTTTACGCAGTTCTCCTGCAAAAGTTCTTGAATTGCCGCTTTGCTACTATCTGTATTATGTACACAATTAAAAAAATTAATGTCTCCCTCTGTACGTAGGAGAAATTTAGAAATATTTAAAATATCGCCAATTCCATATTAATATAAAATACCGATAGGAGTAAATAATTCAAATTACGGGATAGCAGCTAGCTAGGATACATAGATTAGGCTTTTGGGTCAGTATATGATAGAATATTTGAGCAGAGAATACTCGAGAGAATATTGGAATTCAATATAGTGCAGTGAATTCCGCTGATGTTGTGCGGTGAGACAAACAATGACTTTTGACGAAGATAATTTACTTAGGAGAAAAACATAATTGTGATACAATGAGAATACTTCATTGTCTTCAGACTGACGTTAAAATTGCCTCTAAAATGATTTTCCAAAGATTAATATATAACTGATTTGTCCTTAAAATTAATCTCAAGCTCTCATATGTCCCTACCTAATTGTACTTACGAGAGCTGTGACCGATACTCTAGCAAAGACCGACGCGTCTTTAGCAAATTTCCTCGATCTGTCATAGACTCTAAGGTCATCCATTGATTTAGCTTTCTGTTCATGCCACCCAGAAAATATTAATCATCACTTATGAATAATTCTGCGTTATTGACGACGGAAAAGCGTTTTAATATATAAATACGAATTAATATGAATTAATCAATTAATTGAATGAATGAAAGCGTGAACGAGTCCTTGAGGGACAATAACATACCTCCTGTGTCTCCATACTCTGTTTTCCATGTCCTGTCGTTCCATAATCTGCCTCATTTGCATTCGATATGTCACCAAAGCTTCGGCACTGTTAGGCAACAGGAATCTAGTGTTAGTGACAAGTGATGCTTAAGCGAATTAATGAATTTATTAAGAATATTTTTGAACTGGTGTAACCTGTTTCAAAAGCTTTTATCGGTGACTTTTTTTTATTTACTAGTTTCTCTGGGATTTATCTCATTTATTTTGATGTGCACGTGCCACACGAAAATAAAAGAGGAGAATAGCTTATTAAATGTAACGATTTATCCTAAAAGATCAAAAGTAAAAAATGCAGATTCTCATATATGATCCCAATAAAATTTCAATAAAATTTCAATAAAACTACCTAATATTAAAAGGGATAGACGAACATAAACAAACTAATAATCCTCTGAGTTTTTCCCCGTTGACTGTTTCGTTGCCGAGAAAATGATCATCAAATATTTGCAATTGTTTGCAATGAGAGAAATGATGGATTGTTCTTGTCGGCAGCAACGAAAAAAATTCATAAATCACTAGTGATTTCTATCAAGTTTCTTCGCTTTTTCTGAGAACATCAGGCACATTGTGTTTTTTTTCATCTATAGACGTGTAAAAACTGTTGAAAAGATCTCATACATGCTCTAACCAGTAAGCCATACTATACGCCACTTACCAACTGTTTGATGGACACTCCGGTCTCGATTACTTCCTTGTTCGACTTTTCGTTCTCGTTCTTACTCGTCTCCGACACATAACACTGTGTCTGTGTCATGCAAACACCAATTTTTCAGATCATACAACATTAAATACAGAAAACCAGAATGGAAATCGAATAAATCGTTAGAATGACTACATGCACACAAAGTAATACAATCACAAAATCCAATTGAAAAATTATTTCAATCATAATGAGAGAAAGGATTTCAGCATTTTGGAATGGAAAAGATTCAATTAGAAAACGACATGTGTATTAAATAGTATTTTAGTTAGCGATCTGTTGCATTTAGAGTGGAATTTCTCACTGCAAGAGAAAGAGGTTTTCCATATACTTGATGTTTTTCAACATTTATCAATTTTTATGAAATTTATATATCTTGAATATATCTTTCTCTTAATAAATTACATTTTTCTCGAAGAAACTTGGCGGCCACGTCACAAATTGAATTAAAAAAAACATTCTGCAGCAAATTAATTATTAACGTCCTACCCACTAGACTACTACGTATCATTACCATCAATCATCACTACCTAATATTACCAACTGCTAGCATTAATACCTACAATCTATCTATTCACATTGTAAATGGCCGATGGACAGACGTATGTCACGCGCACCTCTTCCGCCTCGAGTAAAACTAAGCAATGACATTCCGTATCTCAACCGCCAGGACAGAAATAAGAAATGCTCAGTGTGTGTAATCTTATCAACGAGGTAACAGCATGAACCTATGTACCGGCGCCTTCAATTAGTCTTCGTTTTTTATCATCAGGTGACATACAAACGTTAAAGTAACGGTATCCGTATTTATTTGAAAACTGTATGATTTACAACGATTGATCAATATTTTGGTGTTCATTCTGAGTCTTTTAGAGGGGTATCGATTTTCAGATTGAACTGCTCGAAAATTATCACAAAAAAAGGGAATACCTTTCTCAAATTAATAAATGCGATTGAATGCCAACAAGTAGGAATTTTACAGTGGTGTGGCAGTGTGGTATTGGAGAAGTATGTTTTTTAATGTATTACGAGGAAATAATACTCACCAGGGATTTGACATTGACGTTAGACAGATCGTCTTCGTCAGAGAACTCTTCCGGATAGTGCTGGACTCGCTGATTGCTATGCATGCTTTTTTCTTCGGCATTAACATTCTGGGTAGACAAAACATGCTACTAATGGCGGTGTGATTGGAGGGAATGAATGAAAAATGGTTGTTCATCACTTTTCATACTTTTTAAATGTGATACAATTTGATGCTTGGAAACTTCTTAGATTCGTGTCAAATTATCCTATACCTTTCGCGATAAATCAGGTAGGTAGTTATGAATTTTTTATATGAGGTTGATCTAATATCCTCATGTTCTCTTGTTCATCAACTAATAATAAATAAGTTTCACACCCAAACATCAGAGATAATTCCAAAAAATTTGACTATGTCTCTCTATATGGCTCTACTGATTATTCATGTGCTCATTTCTGAACTGACCGAAACCATGTCGGGATCCGTTTTCTAGATATTTAAACCCGCCCAATAAAATTAAAAATAATTTTGATTGACAAATCAGTTGTAGCAATTGGCGATAAATTCCATGCATATACATGATAATAATAGATTAAAAAAAAACGGAAAACGTATAAATAAACTTTTCCGACCAACCGCCGGATCACCAAAATTAAAGATATTTAATAATGAACTAAATGACGAATGAATGAGTTTGATAACCTCTAGCAGTCTCAACAATTTAAAGTTACAGGGGTAAGGTCATGCAGGATTTTAAAAGATAAAAAAATGAAACTTAATTGTTACATTTCTCACTCACCACTGAAATATTTTCTTTCTCAAGGTCATTCTTCTTGCTCTTTTTAGTCTTCTTTGTCTTTGGAGTGCTGATTTGCAATGCATCGTTGCTACTCCCCTCGATCTTCTTTTTTTTGGTCTTCGTAATGCTTTTGGAAGTGGACGAGGTTACTGTACTTGTTGTTATCACCTCTTCATGATTCTCGCTCTGCACGCAATAAAAATTTGATTAAATTAAGTGGATCGTGGAAAATGGATTTGCGATAATTCTTCTTTTTCATTAAGTCGTTTAAATGACAATTTGCGCACGCTCTGCGTGTGAAAAATCCCACTTCCCACGCATTGTGATAAAAAGTAGTGAGGGTAACACGAGTGCTTCACACTTCCTCCGAGGGCTCCGAGGCAATAGCCACTTTTATAATGCAAGTGAGAGAAAATGCCACCTTCTTATACGTTTCCCATGCAAGAAACTGCTTTTTTTTAATGAGTCACCGAAAAAATATCCTTCAATGAAGTATATTTTATAGTTGATTTTGATGGATCTTCCGCAGCTTTTGCAATTTGAATTTCGATACTTTTTCCATTACACTTATTGGCAACAACAATTCAATTCGTGTATGCTTCAACCGGAATTTATACTTCGTTGAAAAATTTTAATTTAATATTTGAAAAAAAATCCTGTAAAGAGGTACAAATAAAATTGAAACTTTGGGATAAAAAGGACTTGAAACAAAGATGAAGAGTTGAATTACGTTCTGATTGATCAGAACATAACCGAAAACAATAACAAGACCTGATAGATCCATGAAATGAATCTCATAACAAATGGGTTTGGCTGAAAGCTGACTAATAGTTAACGAATAAATTTTCACTTTTTCAATGCCCCATTCATTAACTATTAATGAATATTCATTTAGTCATATTCAACTCCACTATCCATTGTCGATTCAATGTCCATCTTACAAACACACGAACTTGAAAGTTTTTTATTTAATCTTTACTTAATTAATGTACTCGTGCCGTTGTATTATAACCGAAAAAATACGGTATGTGAGATCGTTCCCCTCACGCGAGGCATTGAAATGAAAGTCGATCCTGCAGAACAAAGTAAAGGACCAATGATGCCAACCATTCACTTCTTTTCTTTTATTGAAATGAATTTAGTTTCGCAACAATAAATTGAAATACCTACACTTATACAGTTCCGTGTTTCATCCATCATTGCGACCACCAAGGGAATAATATGGAGGAAGGCAACATTGGGCCACACATCCGGTAGTTCAGGAACCGTAAAGAATAATAACTTTACCTTTTTTTCAACGAAACAATAACGTTACTTCAAAGGTCACAACTTTAACGATCACTTGAGTCGATTATGTTTCCTCTAGTCGTTCTCGTTGGAGGATAAATACAAAACTACCGTCAGAAATTACTCGAAGTCATTGACTGTACGATATTCTGTTCTGTGGAGATGCCACGCGTGAGTAACGGTTAACGAAATCGAATCTGGCCCACAATCAAACTCGAACTCCTCATCTTTCTAACGCATTCTCGATCAATCCTTGATGTAGTTATCGTTTTGAAATTGGTAGAATACCATTTAGATACTCGTCTTACAGATTCAAACGTTTCATTGCATTTGTTGCAGAAGATTACTTTGATTTTTTATTTACCAAATCATTACAGCTTGGATCACACTAATAATCATCATTCAATTCTCATTAAAATTTGAAGAAGCTCATTTCTTCTACTATTATCAGAAAATATTGATAAAGTAATTTAATATGTTTATTCAAATTCATAGTCGTTAATCAGAGATTGAACTTTCAAATTGTTGTACAACAATAAAATGGATATGATTTTTTAGTATAAAATTAGAATAATTTGTATATTTTAAATGATTCAGAATGGAAATTTGAAACTTATTTAATTGAAGCATACAAGTTGTAACTTTCAAACGTTGAAAGAGGTCGATGAAAGCGGTGAGATATGTACATCTCGGTAAATGGTCTCACAATTTTGCACAATTGAGCGAATAGTTATTCGCTCATCTTTAGTCCCCACCGCCCCCACTAAATTCTCAGACTGAACGACAATTTTCTCGTAATTTCTCACTGAATGGCACTTGAATATGATCGATGAATACGGTTTAAAGGGTGATGTTAATGATTGATTTGGACCTACTGAGGCGAACGGTTATGTACTGAGTTGGTTTATACATAGCTAGTTTGCCCTCACCCACCGTCACTCGACTCGGCCTTGAGGCGATTAAAGGTGTCCGAGACTCGTAGCAAACGGGTTCAGGAAACTCCGTGCTCCTCAAACCGTGGCACGAGTAGAGAGACCCACAGCCGGATGGTGAAGATCGGTTAACTTTGTAATATAAGTGGTGGGATTGGTTGATTCTCCCCAACGTTACGCTACGATTGGATACCACCCGTTGGAGAGTGCTTGTTTTGTCAGTATGCGGAGAAAATGGACGTAATGGCAAGCGTCAAGAGAGGAGGTGAAGCTATTACGGACGTTGACTTTACTAAACCGGAATTTATCTAATCCACATTCAGAGTTACCCACTATTTGCCATAATCAATGCCATCTTCACAGATTACAATCAATTAGAGACAATTTTACCATGGCAACACTTTTTCCAATCATATTTAAATTTTGTATAATTTTCTCTGATATATTTTCGTGCTCAATTACACTGAAAGTAACCAAGTTCACTCATATTATGAACTTCTCTCAAGTTTTCCTATTTTCCAACTGGTGATGGGAAGTAACATTTTTATCGAAAATGTTGCAAGGTATCTACAAGAAGAAGTCAATTCAATTTTTTGTGCTTGGTACTTTGGAAACTACTATACTGAATCAAATTTTCGTACTCTTTTTTTCCAAAACATACTTAATATGACTGATTAATCAAGAAATCAATTAATCATTCATCAAAAAGATACACGATAATTAGGTTTTTCATCTGCTCATGACTAGGTTTCGAAAAATGCATTGAAATCTGTTAATAACCCCCTTCCGATTGTTTACTTGTTCAGGTATAATTAAGCGTCCACCATCTTCGTTCGACGACAACTACAAAAAGCGTCGCAATTAGACCACTGAGCTCGGCGAATCGGAAAGGTAGCATTTTATTCTCGCACAAAAATCGCCATGCATGGGACACTGTTGCGAAATAAGTGTTAGCATAGAAGTATAAAAAAAAACGAAACAAAACAAGTAAAACACCACTTACATCACACGAATTAGACAAATCGCTGCTCTCGTCGTCTGGAGTTGCTAAGGGAGCCACCGAGGGTGAACTTAAGCATTTCTCAGGCACACTATCTTTTTTAGTCGGATTAGCTTTGTCAGTCTCTGCCAATTCTTCGCTTCGAGCAAACACTTCATTTTCCTCAACGATTTGGCTCTTGTCCGTCCGTTCTTCTAATAAAATTGGGTCGGTTGTGGTTCTACAGAGGACCTCTTCATTAAATTGTTTGGAAGGATTGATAATATAGCTTCCTACATCATCCTGGGAGGGGCTTATATCCGCTGTGATTTCATTTTTCTTTTCAACCTCGTCAACCTCACCGATATGAAAATCTTGTTCATCAATCTTGGTCTCTTTGATCTCTTCGTTAGAGAATTGATCATCCACCATAACCGGATCTCTCTCCCCTGTCATCAAAGGACCAAAAACACCAGCATCTTTCGAAATACCTGACGTTTTCCCCAGCAATTCTCCAGGTTCTAATACTTCAGTTTCAAACTCAAGAATATCCACATTATTCTCTATATTTTCTTGACAATGTTCTTCATAATCGTCCGTCTGCGGTTCTTCGGGGGCACTAATTGTTTCAAACCCAGGTGATAAACCGTATGAATATTCATATGTAATTTCACTACTGGGGTGAAGTGCAAGATTATCGGAGATGTGGTGAACCTGATCGACTCGGTCTATTTCATCCATCCACATGTCTCTTGCACTCTTTTTCCTCTCATCCGGCTGATAAACTTCGCTAACAAGCTCCCCAAGACCAAGTTCATCCTCCTCAGGGTCTACATGATGAGGTTTTCCATTATCAACTTCAGATTCCAACTCATACGGTTGAGTTTTGTCAAAGTCGATGGGATTAAGATCTTGATCCAAATCATTTGTCACTTCAGGTGGCATTTCAAACGGATCAGCAGTTACTGACTGTTCTGTTTGACAATTCTGAATAAGATCTCCATAATTTTCTAGGTCAAGGAGTGATTCTGTGGCGCTGCCACTTGATCTTATTGTTGCTCCTCGGAGATTATCAGTGTATACTTGATCCAAATCAGCATCAATTAGGTCCAGCGGCTCTTTTGACTCGGGTGAATGAGAATCAGTGATAATGGGGCTAGTATGACCATTTCTGTAGGTGTAGGGGTCCTCTACAATGTTGTAATGATCAATTTCTGCACCTATGAACTCTGCGTTGATGTCTAGCAAATCCTGGCGAGGTTCAATGACGATCTTTTTAATCGAGATTGACGGCTGGTGATGATCATCTTCAGTAGCCAGCATCTCAACTTCAGGGGAAGGTTCTGAGCATATTCTAAGGGCTAACTCACTCTCGATAAGCTCTTGGAGACTTTTATCCTCAGGGGTGAGCTCATTTTTTGTATTGTTCGTTAGTATTAAGTCATCCTCGTCGTCACACAGGTTTAATAGCTGATTGTTACTTGGGGTTATATCGAGATCTATCAAACCATTGTTAGATTTGACACTGCAAACATCGTTTTTTGTACTTACTACATTTGAGGATTTCTTAGAGAGTAGCTCAGCCATTGCTGGTGGTGGCACTTATGAAAGTCTGAAAGCAGATAATGGAATTATTACGTTAGTGTCTTGCATGGTAACAACTCGGTAACAAATAATCTCATTATAAAATTCAAGCAATTTTTTACTGGAAAATATATGTCAGACAATAGTCTGATGGCATTGTTCGGTAAAGTTTACGTCAGGATTGCCAGTAATATCAATTAGGGAAGATCCGACTAAAATGGCACATAAGATAAAATGGGTTGAATCAGCAGGTTCAATGGGAGACAAGGGGAAAAAATCGATCGTAAGCATCCATTATTCAACATTTCGGTTTAACCAGAATTTTGCCACACATAACTGATAAAACAATGTTAAATTCGCATATATGACGAATTCGGTCACAAGCTAAAAATTAACGATTGAAGTTGAGAAGATAGAGGGCGTATTTTTTGAGAATGTTAAAAAATAAAAAAAATTAAGGAAAATGAATTAAAAAGACTTTTCCGCAAGTGTCGCATTTCATCGGTATCTCCTCTATTAGTTTTCATTTTATTTTCAATGAGGCTCGTGGCAAGAAACTTAAAACTATAAAGCCAAGGGTATTTGAAATAAACTTTAAAGTGAGAGGTTACCAAGGTAATCAGTAATTAAACTCCTACATTAATTGTTGATATAATTTTTGTTATTTAATGTGATTTTTTAATTATATGATTATATTTCGATGACAGATATTTTTCTCAATATTATGAGAATTATTGGGGTAATTTTATTTACATTGTAACGTTACCGGAAAATCGTATAAATTTCAAAAATAGTATATTTTCGTAGTAATTTTCAAGTTGTCGAGTATGTAGTACCAATTCCCAAACGAGAAATCGTGAAAAGCAGTACAGAGAAGTTATTTTTCTGGATGAGAAAAGAAATATGAATACGAAATACTTCTAATGAATGCAATATTTCAATTTTCGGTCTGAAATATTTCAGAATATCACCATGTATTTTATTAGTTAATTTTTCCAGCAGATATGGCATTTTATCGAGTATATCGATTCTGCCAATCTATTTGAGCCTCTCATTTTTCAATCTTATTTATAAACCATTTTTTCCCCTCATGATGGGTTGTTTTATTTCACCTCTTAGTCTACGATTACGGAAACCGATACAGTGAAAAAGCCACGTGCCATGAAGTTGACGCATCAGAAATAGTAGGAAGACTGCGGTTGCTTATGGTTATGCAAATGGAATGTTAAAGTGCTGGTTGTCTTTCCCTTTGGCACATAAAGCCATCTCCACTTTATCTACTATGCCTCGACGCATATTCTTTTGATGCGTCAAATTTTCCAGGCTAGACTGTATTCATTTAACATTTTCACTACTCTAAAGGGACTTCAAATTTTCCAGCATAGAGCTTTGATGAAATTTCATTTTTTACCTTCAATCACGGATGAATTGTCTGATGGGTTGTTTCACAAAAAAATCAACTGAAATTTGTCATGGAAATTATAAGGGCGTGATCAATAAATATATCCATTATTCGCTTATTATGTTAATATCTGAGAATATCTAACAATTGCGTGTTTCATCTCCAGTAATTTTTGGAAATCAAAGAAATGATGGAGCTCCTCGATTAAGAAGTGACCAGTCGATTTCTGATGACTTGCCAATTTTTCAGGTCATTTCTCTTTTCATTGTTTTCATTGATTTTTCTCTTACGTTTCGTTGAGATCCTTGAAGCGCTTGGAATGCCAATGTGCATTGGTCGACACGTTAGCCGACACATAAGCCTCCTATTATTAGATGTTAATGTTCTGTCTGCTTTCACAACGTAAGACCGGTAGTGCGCAAGTTGAAAATCAAAATTTTCTGCCAAATTATATTATGGATTCAAATTTCGTTAAATTATTAACATTTATAAAAATTACACGATATAAACGCAATCATAAATTACACACAGAGAATCTTAAGAGTGTATTACACAATTTTATGCACATTTTATACGTAGCAATACAGTTTTAGCAATATTGACGTAACTTTCGATGAAACTTAGTGATGAAACTTCCGTATGCAGAAGTTATAATCAATTAACGCAGGAATCATGTATACTATTGTATACTTTTTCTATCAACTGAGTATAAACATTGGCATTTGCTTACATGCAATTGGCTCAGCTGCATATCCCCTCAGCAAAGATTTTCATAAATCAATAAAATTGCAGTGATAGTGAGCATTTTTTCAGAGAATCAATGCATTTTTTAAAAATTAATTTCTCAATATTTCACTACATATCAAATATGTTTAAGCAGTGCATATTATATACCTCAATGGCACGGTATGATATCAGGTAGTTTTATGCATATTCTATGCATAAGAATTTCAATTTTATACATTGAGTGATTGTACCAAAATATGTGCATAAAGTTCGCAATTTTTTTTTTAATTCTATAACCATTGAATTATAATCTGTGGAATTACGGTGTAAGTAGCTGCAATGTAAGTAAATCTGAGAATTTTCTCGCATTTTTGAAATGATACCATGAATCGTAGAAGAAGACTTTCATCTGCCGTTTATTCAAGTTCATGGATATTATTGTATTATGCGCAGTGTCTCCCGTGGTGTAATCATAAAAACAATTGTGTTATAACTGCACAAATTACTATGACATGGTTGCCAACAGATACATCTCAATGTATAAATTGTCCGTATTTTTTCCTCCATCTCAATTCCAGCTGTTGGACATTTATTTTTGCGATGAGTGCACTGGCCTTGCAGAAACAGTTTCTGCTATGGAGAGGAGAGAAGACATCAGCAGGCGGCCGGACCGACATGAGGTATATTCACACTCCTTGGCCCGTCATGTCCCTCAAGATGATCTGCCATGTGCGAACCACTTAAGTTAGGGAAAGGATCTACTCAAGCATCGGCATTACTGCCAACGTCAGTCATATTATCTCCCCATCGTGAAAATTCCCGTTCTCACATGGGAATCTTTGCAGAACAACTGTGAATACATTTGACAGGGAATACAAGTAAACAGCTATAAGGAAATAGATTTTACTCACTCTATATTACTATATTTATTAACTTATTTACTTTCTTATTTCCGGCAAACGTGATCATTGCCATTGAAGAACATAAATAGCAAACCTTAATTCAGCGGAAATTTTCACTAATACGAACTCAACTTACTTAATAGTTATTTTAATTGAATGACCAGAAATTTTCAATAACTTTCAATTCAGGGTCCGGGTGGACTATCTATCGAATGTCGACTTTTGTTTAGATTTATCTTTTTAACCTAAAATACATTAAAGTTTTGAATCAATTTTGTGTTACGGGAAGCACTTGAATGGACATGAAAAAATAATGAAAAAAACGAGGAAAAATTATTGAAGGGCGCTGAAGATCGATATTATTTAAAAGGAATTTACCAAGTTTGCTAAAAAATAATAAAAAATACTTAGCTTACTATTGCATCTAGCTGTCACTCAATCTTCTGGAGAGCAAAAGTAAGCTGTGTAATTTTTATTATTTTTTTGTAAACTTGGTAGATCCCTTTTAAACAATATCGCTCTTTAGTGCCCTTCAATAATTTTCCCTTTTTTTTTCATTATTTTTTTATAACCATTCGAGTAGTTCCCGCAACACAAATTTCATCCCAAATTTTAATGTATTTAAGGCTAAAAAGATAAAATTTAAACAAAAGATGATATTCGATAGATAGTCCACCCGGGCCTTAAGTTTTTTCGTTGAACTGAATTCGCACTATTCTCAACATTTTTCATTCTCGTATAAACCGGTCAAGTAATAATTCTGTACTAGAGTGCAAATAAATTTCATCCAAGCTTATTGCCAAATATTGGCATGGAATTACTTTTCAACCGTTTTTTACGTAAAATCGCAACCATAATTTTCAAACAGTTTTGTGTACAACAATTTAATTTGTAAAGTCTGAAAAATTGAACATAAGGTTAACTAATTTGAAGACAATTTTCCGACAAATATGAAATTCTTATAAATAATAAATGACTTTATTTCGAAACCAATTCTCGTAAACTTGTTCCATGTAAGGAGAGACATCCAACCTGGCATAATAGTACTGAACATTACTCCTCCAAGGATTCAATAATTCTCGCGTTCCCTTTAGATAATTTCTCATGAGTCGAATGAACTTGAGACTCATTTCTACAATCATCACAACTTCCATCGCAAGTTCCACCTCTTCTTCAGTTGTTGATTACCCGCTTTTTCACGTCTTATCATTATCCCTTGCTTTCTGTATGTTATACAACCGTAGACATGTACATGTAATGCATGTATATGTAAACCAGAATGGGAGTAAGTCCAATTATACATGACTCCTATGAGCCCTGACTTTTCAACCATTCTCCATTCATCGAATTCAAATTCTAATAGATGAACGATATTTCTCATTGCAAATCATGTTTTAAACCAATGATAATTCATCGGAAGTTTGCACTTAAATTAAAAACTTTTTTCAGGTCGACAGTCACGAGTGCATATAAATATCTCAACTTTTTTCGCCATCTGGGAATATTTGCGAGTCGTTTAATTTAGTCTGTATGACGCCAAGAATAAAAGAAATGACTTTTTCTGCTGCAGAATGTCGGAGAGTTCACGACCGAGACTTGTAGAAAGGCGAATGTTCTTGCGTTCGGTTACAAACGGCAGAGTATTTTTAGTATGACACACTACCGCGTCGCTGACCAAATCTTCTTACCAAAAGTGGTTGTGAGGACGATAGTGAAGGCCGAGTGTATCCTCTCCTTTTTTTCAAATGAATATACAAGGAATGAAATTCGTTGAAGATACCCAAGTACTTGGATATGCAAGTTCTTTCAGAGAAAAACTTCATACTCTTTTTTAGATGGTTAAAATGGCATTACTATTCATTAGGTGATACAATTACCGTTGATGATTTTAAGACGAAAACACGAATTTAGTAACTCTCATATTGAGCTATCATTTTTTTCGTTCGCTAATTGAACATATTTATTGATGGCCTCTACTCAATCTCAAAACAATGCTAG